ATAAACAGTCATCTCGCAGTAAATGGGTATTGTTGAGAACAAGGAAACTAGTAAACATGTACTGTAGGGAACACTGAACAAATACTGAACGAAAACACCCGCTATCAAATGTTAGCGGACTGAACAATAGCGAAGATCAAAAAAGTAGTATTACTATGAGGTTATTACGAGGATACCTCAGAGTGTGAACGAAGACAGTACAGCGGAGGTATTGACCGACGCGCAGCAGAGGTCGATGCGACGGCGTACTGTCTGAGTGCATACTTTGAGGTATCCTCGTAATAACCTTATTATTACATCATGGGAATGCCGAATTCCAAAAAAATTATAACAGAATCACCGAACTTCTTTGTGTGGAGTCCGGTCAAACCCTGGTGGCAGCCATGCTTGTTTTTATTATTATGGGACGTTTACGCGCGTAATCATTCCATATTTGGAATTCCCATTTCCTAATATGGTAGGATGACAATACCCCGTAAAATACCACAAAATTAAGGCACGCTGTAACTTGTGGCGTTACGGTGACAGGTGTATAATAATGTACTGTAAAACATGTTGAAAAAGCGGCATGCAATTTTAGCGAATTATGGTAAAATGACGTAATAGCGAAATGTTGATTTAGCGGATCTCTCTTGTCATTGTTGATTTTTTTGTTTGGTGGCCATTTTGAATTGATAATAAGGTCATTAGCGACATCTTGAATTAGCGAATCAGTTCTCTCGCTAAATTCGCGAAAAAGACATGATGCTCGCGAAAAAGACATGTTTTACGTACTTTTCTGGAATGCACTCAGTTATCAAAACATCTTTCAAACCAAAGTTTATCTGAATTGGATACAGTAACAATTTAAGATAAGTGTAATGAATAATCATGATAACAAACCAAGAATCATTCATAATATATAAATATCGCAAATTCTACAAATCATCTTATTTTCCATGCTATAGAATGTAAATTATAAGATATACAATTTCTGAAAACGAAAAAGCCCCCAGGTCCTGTCGAAATAAGATTTCAAAATAACGTCACTCTGTAGTAACATTCTAATCCTCTGAGAGCCAAATGCAAATTGTCACAAAATATTATTTTTTAAAAGCTTTAATAAATGTATATTATTACATATATTCCATCCAAAGTGGACAATATAATTGGAGAAAAATTTATTTTGAAAATGTTGTACTTAATCGATGGTGGGATGAATGAGGCTCTCAGAGAGTTAAATAACACCATATATATTATCGGCGTGCGTCAATCTTCATTTTAAAGTTGTACTCTGAGATAATTATTTGGACGACCCCTTGTCTTGTTTGATGGTCTAAATCAGTACGAGTGAATTGTGGGAAATATTTGAAGATTCGCCCGGAATCCCCCTCATTCAGAATCACTGCAATACACACCTAATTCGGAACCGGCGAATCCGGTGAATTCATGCACCTAGGAATACTATTCCAAAATGATCGCCAACATTCATCCACATTGAATATCATTGCAATTTGAACGATTAGTACATGGCATAATTTCAACAATTAAAAACATACCATAGTCCCATACAACTCTCACAACAGTCGTACATCCTTACACATCAGTTTGAGAAGTTTTCACTATAACCTGCTTTATCGTTTATTTTAACCAGCGACTCGCACACATTTGACCTACGACATTCCAGTTTAACGTTTCAACTATAAACGTTATAATTTGGCGACCTCTACTTTTCTATGTACAGAAAGGCAGTAATTAATGTCACATGATATTCGGAGAAAATGCATCCCTGATTACCTCAATATAAAATATAAATAGATCTGAAGTATAAATATTAATAATCAATTGATCACGTGATGACGCAGCAATCCTTCACGTAAGACACATACAAGTTCGCAGGTAAATAACACCAAAAATATTAATCGCATCTCAAAGAGAGCGCCATCAACGTTGGGGTGCCATGACGCGAAGACGTCGAGTCCCATAAATCCCCACACGTGTACATTCCCCGCACCAGCGTTTTTAGTTTGAATTCCACATGGTTCGTTTCTATGACAACGCATTTCTGAAATATAAAAGCAAATAATCATTCTACTTAATGAAGACCAGATATGTTCACGTGACCCGAAAAATCATGTTGTACATCGTGGTCTCGTCGCCCATGGCAACTGCTAGCGGCGACCAAATTCTGTATAATTATTTATTGGTTGTTACTCACACTCTTACACAGAGTCAGATATTTATATTTGTTACAAAATTCATTATTCAAAGCACCTGTGACGAAATCAATTTGGGCTCAATTCAATAAGCGCGGTGTTGCATGGGATACATTATATGCAAATCAACGCGTACATGCAACTGGCATTTGAATTAAACAATGATGTATCACACTGTGCGTACACATGCTGCAACCAATCGATGAATTCTAATCAATAATATATGTGTGTGCTAGGCACTACGCCATTTATAGTACGCAATATAAAGCATTGCGTTGTGAAAATGAAACCATAAGTTCAATGACCTTATGCAATCTGCGTAATTTGATAGCTGATATTACTCAAGAAAATCAACGTTTATGACAGCAAAGACACGTACTGTAAAATGACTAATTTCCACTGTGATTAAATTTCACTGATTTAACATTTCAGGCATATTCAGTGGGTTTTAAGTTGACAG